TGCCTGATTTCTTCCAAAACATACGACTTTTTGCGGACGGTCGAGCTGACCTTATATATAAAATTTCAAGTAAATCGGTTGAATGTTTTCTTCAAAATGTTCAAAAATGTAAAACAGGCCCGCTAAAAAGTGCAGTTCCCGAGGCCTGATATATATCAAAAGTTGATCGATCCGTGCCATGGTGGAAACAAACTTACATATAAAATTTTATCAAAATCGGTTCAGCCGAACTTGAGATACACGCGTGCACACACAGACCGACAGACCGACAGACCGACAGACGGACAGACCGACAGACCAACAGACCGACAGGTTGCTAAAAATAGTTTATTTACACTTCCCTACTATGGAGAAGTACGTTCCCACCGAAAACTCGATATGCAAAATTTGTTGCCATCACATAACCTACCTATTGTTTACACAATACGGTCGGTAAAAAAACATTGTTATATTTATATTGACGCTAGATATAAGAAAAGAAAATGTTCGTCAAAGTTTAACGAAATTTATACATTTTTCTGGTCAATGATTTTGCATTTTGTACCTTTCTTTTTACTTTCATGTAATATGATTTGGTTTGTATGATCTGCAATATAATTAACTATCTTACCTTATTATATCTTTTTCACTTTAAATAATTTATGTTATCTTTAGTACAATTTTTCTTATACAATTATTTTTTTTAATAATATATATAATTAAAATTAAATATTTTAAATCAATTTTTTTTTTAATTTTCATAAATTTTTTTCCCTATTTTCTTTATTGTCCCAAAGTAATTATAAGCTTTTTTAACAAGAAAATTTTTTTGTTACAAATGCAAATCTTTGTTACAAATGCAAATTTTTTATTTGTATGATGGAACATCTAAAAATTTTAACTCTCCAAAATCGGCTGCACTACTTCTCATTCCATTCGTAAAACTTAAGTATATGTAAAAATTCTAAAATACATTGAACAAAAACTTCCATTGTACTATCGCTGCAGTATTTAAGGTAAGGATAAGGACTTATAAAGTACCTAGGTTTACATTATAATGTTTTTTTCAAACTGTAATTTTTATAATTTTACACTATTAAAATAGTTTGGAGACATGCAAATAACGCTGCCATTGTAGCAATAATATTTGTTTCTTTGAATATTATGAAGTCATGTATGTATATATTTATAGATAATCTCAATTATTTAAATATGTACATATGTACTTCGATTAAAATTGTGCAAAAGCAATACTTATATGCATGTATACGAAACGAAAAAATAGCTCTTGAATAAAAGTGCTGACCGATTACTTTAAATGTAAAAAAGTAATCTGTAATGAAATATTAAACCAAATGGAACATTGGAAGCCACTCCAAATATTACAATCAAAGTCTCATTATAAATCTAATACTTTCATAATTTAGAAAATCAAGTCTTATTTTCTTTATATACATATGTACATATGTATATACATATCACTAAACACTTATTATACTAACCAGAGACTTACTGATAGTGAAAATCAAATATAAAAAAAACATTTCGAAACTTTTTGATTTTTTTTTTCGCAATAGACACATTTCTGTTTGCTAATAGAAAATTTTGAAGTATCTCTTTTTTCACACCCAAGCGTACTGCAAAAAAACACCTAAATGTGTTAAATGTGCTGAAGAACACTTAACGGCGAATTGCAGCAAAAGCAAAGACTCTGCCCCACTATGTGCCAACTGTAATGGAAGACATCCTGCAAACTACCGGGGTTGTGAGGTAGCTAAAGAATTTCAAAAAAGACGTAAGCAAAAGCTAAAAACAAAAAATCCAAGTAGAAAACCTACCCAAGTTCAAATTGACAATGCAACTCCCAACCTTAACACGCCACTAAATTGTAACAATATTACTAGTAGCTCGTATGCGCAGATATTAAGGGGTAAGCCAAACCAAGACAACAATAACTCTATTGAAAAAACATTATTACTAATATTACAAAAACTTGACGAGCACAATCTTGCGGACAAAAGAATTAATGATAAAATAACTCAGCTAGAAAATAAGTTAAACCAGATTAAAGCTAGAACAAAATAATGCCAGACCTAAGAATTTTAACATGGAATGCCAATGGGATTCTGCAGCACTTAAATGAATTAGAATTAGTATTACGAAATGATGATATTGACGTTTGTTTAATTTCGGAATCTCACTTAGTTAGTGATTCCTATATCAAAATAAGAGGTTACAGCTTTTACCACGCTTGTCACCCAAATGGCAAAGCTGAAGGGGGTTCTGCAATATTTATTAAAGAAAATCTAAAACACAATGAAGAAAGCAAAATAGAACTGGAAACTATGCAAGTAACAACAATTAAAGTTCACTCCCTTAAAAGCATACAATTTAACATATCGGCATTCTACAGCCAGCCTAAACATAATCTTAAAAAGAATGATTATCTTAGTCTCTTAGAAAGCCTTGGCCTTTTCTTTATCATTGGAGGAGATTTCAACGCAAAACATGTACATTGGGGGTCAAGATTAACAACGACAAAAGGGAGAGCACTGTATGAATCATCTAATGACTTAAATTGTAAATTTATCTCAACAGCGAAACCAACATATTGGCCAACTGACACTAATAGAATTCCCGATCTACTAGATTTCTTTATTCTAAGAGGGCTAGCAGATAAATTTACTAAAATTGTGGAATGTCCAGATCTCCACTCTGATCATACTGCTATTATTCTAACTGTTAGCAAAACAATAATAAATAAAGACAATAGGATAGCGCTGGTAAATCACAAAACTGACTGGCAAATGTTTCGGAAATGCCTGGAAGAAAAAATTATTTTAAAAGTTCCATTAAAAAGTGCTTACGATATCGAAGAAGAATTAGATAACTTTGTCCAAAATATACAAGAAGCGGCTTGGCAAAGTACTCCACAGCAAAATAAAAACGCAAGAAATCAAAGTTCAGTTACATATCCAGCTGAAATAAGGCAATTAGTTGCAGAAAAAAGAAGACTTCGTAAGAGATGGCAGGTAACCAGAGCTCCCTCTGATAAAACAATACTAAATAACGCAAGCAACAAATTGAAAAAGGCACTAAAGGAAAATAAAAACAAAACTATAGAACACTTTCTAACTGGGTTGTCCGCAGGCAAAGAAAATGATTATTCCCTTTGGAAGGTAGCTAAAAGTTTAGATAGACCCACACAGCAAGTACCACCAATCAAAGCTAACGACAGTTGGATAAGGCAGAGCAAAGACAAAGCTGAAGTTTTTGCAAAACATCTGGAGAACACATTTACTCCTCTCCCACGACAAACTGCGGAAGAATTTGCACCACAACAACCAAACTTTGATCGCTTACCTGTAACTAAAGTTAAGCTAAAAGAACTTAAACAAGAAATAAAAAACCTGAAAACTAAAAAAGCGCCTGGGTACGACTTAATCACAGGGGAAATATTGAAGGAATTACCAGAGATAGCTGTTAAAAAACTTCTTCACATAATAAACGCCATATTAAATAATAAATACATACCGATGCAATGGAAATCTGCTGAAGTTATTATGATATTAAAACCAGGGAAACCCCCAAATGATAAATCTTCCTACAGACCAATATCGTTACTACCGGTTATGTCTAAAGTTTTTGAAAAAATATTTCTGAACAGATTAACCCCAATTATTCATAATCGGAAACTGATACCGGACCACCAATTTGGATTCAGAACAAACCATTCGACCATAGATCAAGTACATCGTATTACTGATATTATTGAGAAGGCGCTGGAAAACAACCAAATTTGTGCGGCACTATTTCTTGATGTGGCCCAGGCATTTGACAAAGTCTGGCATAAAGGACTATTATATAAACTAAACAAAATGCTACCGAAAGATCACTGTCAAATTCTATCGTCATACCTGTGTGGAAGGACTTTCCGTGTTAAATGTGAAGAAGAATACTCTGCTCTAAAACCAATCAGGGCCGGAGTTCCGCAGGGCAGTGTTCTGGGGCCCATTCTATACGTTCTATTCACCAGAGATGTCCCAACAAATCAGCAAAGTACTGTTGGTACTTTCGCAGATGATACAGCCATTTTAGTAACAGCAAAAACGATAGATGAAGCGACAACCGGCCTCCAAACTTCAGTTGACAAAATTAGCAAATGGACGAAGATGTGGAGAATCAAATTAAATGAGACAAAGTCAGTTCACATAAACTTCACGAACAAAAAATATGAGCTACAAAGAATAGAAATAAACTCAAACATTATCCCGTATGCTAACACAGCGAAATACTTGGGCATGACTTTGGATGCAAAACTAAAGTGGAAAGAGCATGTAAAGAAGAAAAAAGATGAAATGAAAATAAAAATCCGAAAACTTGACTGGCTAATTGGAAAGTATTCTAAATTGAACCTGCAAAACAAATTATTAATATACAACCAAATAATCAAACCCATATGGACTTACGGTATTCAATTATGGGGTTGCACGAAAAAATCAAATCATCAACACATACAAGTACTACAAAATAGGGTACTGAGAAATATAACAGCAGCGCCGTGGTACGTTCGTAACAATGTGATCCACCGCGATCTAAAAATAAATTTAGTAACAGAAGAAATAAAAATCCAGGCAATTAAACACAAAGATAGAACACTTCGCCATCCAAATATTGAAGTTAGGAGATTAGTTCAGACTCCAAATCACCAAAGAAGATTAAAAAGACTGAAGCCGTTTGATTTGATTGAATAAATCAAGTTCAGAATAAACAACTAAATTAATTAAGGGGTCTGTCCACTGGGTATCACTCCCCTTCCTCCACAACGTATCAGAACATAAAATTGCTAGATAGGTTACATTAACTTAGTTGCAATATAATATTGAAAAAAAAAAAAAAAAAAATCTCTTTTTTCACAAATCTCATGTTACTTGTGAAACATCTTGCAGGTTTCTGTGTCCACGTTCTTGATATGCATATGTATGAATTTTAATTTAAAATTTCAAGATAAAAAACCTTACCCATGTTTGCATGGTTTCCAAACTTTACTGTTTTCCTTTTATTTTTTTTAGAAAAATTTTTCAATGTCTCTAAGTAATCTGAATCTTTGTTTACACCTTTTTTTAATAAATTATCGATCTTTCCGTTGCTGAAATTTTTCTGATCTTCAAAATTAAAATTATTTTTACTTCCTTCTTTTCTGCAATCATTATCTTGGGTTGATATAATTTCATTATATTTCACATTATTTTTAACAGCGTTAAATTTTATTTTAAATTTTACAATTTCTTGTTTAATAAGATTATTTTCATTGACATGTAGAATATCAACATTTTTATCAATATTGGCGGTCATTTTTGAGGTGCGTCCAGGAGTACTGATTCCGCTCAAGGTATCCCAATCCACGTGAACCTTTTCACCACTTGTGTATTCAACATTTTTATTTTGTAAATGAGGTAAGCTCTGTTTTTTTAAAAAAAAGCTACCTGTGTCAACAATATCAATTTCTTTTAATTTAGTTTCGTTCTCCATCAAGATAATAATATTCCAAATATTGGAAAAATAGCAGAAACGTTGCGTTTTAGCTTGTTGTCAAAATCATATGGCCATTCACGATAAAAATGTTACAATTCAATCGTGAAATGAAAATTTGATATATGTGTATGTTTACACAACGACATTTGCATTAAAATTTGACATACGTTGCATTAGCTAAATCGACCTTGCTAACTAAACGTGTGTCAACAATGGATAAAAACATAGTCGTATGCACACAAATATTTCTCAAATCCGAAAATAGGCCACCGTTAGGTGTCTTTTACACATCAGATTTTCCAACGAATTAGAAATACTAAAAGAAGGAGCATCTTGAAAAAACAATGAATTTTCTAGTTATCTCTTTCTTCGCTCTGAGGATTGTCAAAGTTGTAACAGGAGCGTATTTATTTTATTTTCTTCTTTGGCCTCTATAAGATATGTGTAATTTAAGATAAGATATGTGTAATGGAAGATAAGTTTCAAAAAATTTTTTTCAAGTAAAAACAAAAAAATATTTTAAAATATTTTTTCATATAAGATATCTGTGAAAAAAAAAAAAACAAATTTAAACAAAACTCATTATATCTTTTATTATATAAATTTTCAGAATATTTTTAATACCAGAAATTTATTTTAAGACCCTCGAAAATGAATATTATTTTGTTAAAAAATTTCTTAAATTATCAGTTTTGTGTGGTAATTTTACAGAACAACTCTAAAAAATATTAATAACATTAAATATAAAAACATATAGAATTAAAAGATGGATTGTTTGACATTTCCTAAACAGAAAATTGGTAAAGTACTTTTGGAAATATTTGCACTTACGTGGTATCACAGTTTTGCCAGCGATTTATTTTTTCACTTGGATTTTTCCTTTTTTCGACAAACTATTTTGACTGAACATTTTGACAACTTTTTTGGCTGAACATTTCACCTTTAAGAACAAAGTGAATAAATTTTGTATACATATTAAAAAAACGAGATACAGAATAATTCTCACTTGAAAATTGTATTATACAATATGCAATATATGATATTAATTCACATTTTTTTCACTTGGTGAATAAAATAGTGAGATACACGATCAGACTCTTAATCTACGAATAAATTTGAATTTGATGAAAATCTAATGTGTAATTGAAATCTGACTTCTGATAAAATTTGATGAAAAAACAGAAGCACATTCGATTATCAATATTCTGTCAGATTCTTAAAAATAACATGACGGAAAATAAATTTTTAAAAAAGCTTTGCAACGATCAACAGATTCTTGTTTTTTTTTTAATATTTTACACATGTGTCAAAAGTCCGACAAACATAAATCTTATGCTCATCAGATTTTATCACAGATTAAATCTACGATTAACATTAAGATGTGTAACTTTAACATTAAGTAAAAAAAATATTTTCCGTGCAGAATTGAAACACATCCATTCCCATTTTTAGATTCTCCTAGAGAACTTTATCGTCAAACGAAATTTTCCCAAATAAAAATTGAGTCGCTGAAAAATTACCAAAAATATTACACAAAAAAAAAAAAACGAATATTTATGACTCGTCTGAAAAATATGGAGTCACTTCGGTACAAATTTCCCATTCTATACATTAGCTAGTATGCTAAATTTTTGTTTTTTGAAAGTTGAATTAATTGTACGTAAGTAGGTGGTTTCGAGTTTGGAAACTCATTAAAAATCTGTACGCATTATATATTTGCAATGAATAAAATTATTTAAGTTTCTGAAATAGAAGGACATATTATGTAGATCAGAGATTCCCACACTTTTTTCTACCGTAGACCCCTTGTCGTGTTTTTCAATTTTTGATAGACCCCCTGCTACTTTCTTTGATGTGAGAAAGTTAAATAAAAAACTTATTGAACTAAATTCGTATTTTTTCGTAGACCCCTAGCGGGTCTTTATGTTCAAAAATTTTTTGAAATAACTATTACCCCTAACATGTTGCATCGGGGCTGTCAATCCGAGCCATTTGGTTTCAATTTGAAAATTTGTGTCTCCGGCTCCTCCTTTTTCATTTTGACTTCAATTTTGTTTTTTTGTCAGTCAAACCGGCCAAAAACATTGATAATTATTCTTAAGAAAAAATTTTAATAAAAAAAATTTTAAAAAATATAATTTATAAATAAAAAAATAAACTTTTTTTGCAATATTTAAAAATTCGTTAACAATATCTTGACTAACGGTGTTATTAACCTATACCTTTTTCTGCTGATTCAAAAGCCGCCACCTATCTTTTTGTGTATCAAGTATATCAATAGTGTCAAATATACAAGCTTATAAAACTCTTCGATATCAGCAGATGAAATATATTTCAATAAACGACAACATTACAATTTTGACATCTTAATTGAAGTCGATAGAATATATTGTTTAAAACTTGAAAAATTTATTCAAAGCTTCCTCAGCTAGCGCATTGTAGTACGGCAGCTGAAAAGGTACTTTCTTCTGTTAATTTCATTAAAACTAAATTGAGAAACTCCTATTATGTTGAAATGGTTAGCAACATTTTAAACTCAAAAGAATTATTTAAAAATATTGATGCCAACCGCTAGGAACCAAGTTGTGACCTTATTTTAACTTATAGTAAGAAAATTTGAAGTACATATGTATATTATTATACCCTACGGCTTCGTGAATGGTATATTAATTTTGATATGGAGTTTGTAACCACTTGAAGGTCATTTTAGGTATGAACATGTATATACGTATATTCTTGCTCACCGTAAAATTCTGCGTTGATTTAGACATGTCCGTCCGTCAGTCCGATCGCACGGTAGTTCAAAAACAAATAATGCAATCGACACCAAACTTTCGCAAATTATTTCTTTTGTGCCAGGGACGAACCCCATTGTAATTGGACCGATGCGAGAAACTGGTTCGTGTAGCTGTCGCGTAAGTTCAAAAGCTAATTTTAAATATTTGACAAAAAAAATAATGGCAGGCTCGTGAAACTTGGTAGTCGTGTGACCAATTATAGGTCAGACATATCCGCGAAGTTTGTATAGATTTTTTTTACAGGTTCGATTAATTGCATTACAACAATGAAAGGTGAAGGGTGTAATTAAATCGCTTATTGGCAATTAAAACATTTCTTCTTGTTTTTATTTGAAGTACGCTTTGTCAACACCATTTTAATATACGAACATATAAGGAAATGAATAAGGCTGTAAACATCAGAAGAAAATGTCATAATAATTTTTATAAGTTTTTTTAATATTTTAAAGTATTTTTTAATTATCATAACTAGAGCCTAAAATTTAAAAAATGTATGAATGTAATGTACATATACGACGTTTCATGTAGAAGATATTATTTTAAGTTTTAGTTTTTATTGTGATATTTTATAATTCGAATTTGTTTACAATTTTTGTTAAAAGCCTTTGTTTCTTTTTTCAGACTTTTTTTTGTGTTCGTGCGATAATAAATTGTTTTTTTTTTTATAATATATATTATAAATATAGGAATTGGCTCCATTTTCTTGAAAATGGCTCCGTTTTTAGAATACTGCTGCTTCTCATCCAAAAAATCAAACGACAGCCCTGAATCAAAGATGTTTTAAAATGAGCATTAATAATTAGTTAATTTTTATGATATACTTGCAATTTTAGTTTCTTTAACTCTTCCTTATATGAATTAATACATTTCCTACTCATACAAAAAGGAAAAAAACGGGAAAAAATAGAGTTGACCGTGTCAACTCTGTGATACCCCTACGAATTTGTTATCCTATAAGCGAATAACTATGCCTTAGCTGAGTATGGGACAGACTATGAATTTAAGCTGCCGTATTACCATATTAATTTATACAAAATCTCAGTACTGTGTTTTCAATATTTTCTAAAATATGACCAAACAACTATTAAGTTGTATGGCTGCTACCAGAAGGAGCCAAGCATTGGCCCTACACATTAGCTCCAAAAATTGAAATTTCAATAACAGCTTTTATAGTTTTTGAGATATGGCCAAATGACTTTTGAAGCTGTATGACAGCTACCAGAAGGACCCAATCAATTTCAACAACTTTTATCAAACACATTGACCCTGCTAATATAGTCTCTTAGGTGAAATTTCAATGTCACAGCTTTTATTTTTTTTTTCTACATTTTGTAAAATATTTTGCTTGCATGTTATTATTTCATTTACTAGGGGCCCCTGTGGTTTGCTTATAAGCAGCATTATCTGTTGTAAAAACAGGATTGTGGCAATCAATTGAAAAGATAAATGAGATAGTTTACCTTTGTGACAGCACATGCTTTTTAATTCATCTTTAAAATGAACAGCCTTTTCTATCATTATTTCTTTTCTATCATTATCTCTTTTAGCGACAATGTGCGGTATGATACTATTGAAATCTTCCTTTAATTGTTTTAAATTATGAAGGAGAGAATTAAGTATTTCGGTTTATTCATGCAACCGTATAATGTTAAATTCTATTTTGTTAATAATTTCTTCATATAAAGAGAGATTAGCCGCATGCATTATTCGCTTATAACTATGAATTATTTTTACCTCCGATTTTTGGAAAAGAATGTAACCATTACCCGCTGGTATCGAGTTAACTTCAATTTCAGACAATGCCAAAGTAAAAAGTAGTATGATAAGGATAAGTAAAAGTTTTAAAGTAACTAAAAGAAAAATAAAGTAAATAAATGATTTTTTGGAATAATTCTTAATATTAACTTTCAAAGTTAAGTTTCCTTTTAAATTGATTCACATAGCGTGGTAGGGGTTCTCTATTTATTTTAAAATGATTTTCACTAGAATGTGTAATATCTACCTTTTTGTGATAGGGTTGTAATTTAGTTATTCTATTAAGTTTTAGGTAATTAGTAGGTTTTTCCTTTTTCCTTTTAATATTAAATTTATTTATTGAAATTTCTTTTATTTTAATTAATTTATTATGAATGGTCTGGTATTGATCTGGGGTAATTGTTCCGTTAAGGAAATCAATAGGTCTTCGTCCAGTTGACGAGT